CTCCCTCGTCCCTTCCGCCCGCCGGCTCGGGCAGCGCCGCGGAGCCGTGGTCCCGCTGCCCTCCCCACGGACCATGCTCCGGAGCAGAAATGCACAGAACGAGAGGCTTGGGGTGTAAACTCAGGGAGAAAGACATGGGAAAATAGGTGGTCTAGAACGGGACTGTATCGTGGCCAGAGCTGCACAACTGCATCAGACCACGATGACTGGATTTTAGAGACCTCATGGAACAGCTCAGGCTCGAGCGAGTTCAAGTGTTTCCTTGATCAGCAGAAGTTGAAACTGAACCTAGCTTTTCCGAATGAGAAGGCAGGACTTTGTGTGATGACTATTGCTTTGATTCAAATTAAGTCTCCTGTTCCAGTAAAAAAATCACACAGTTCCCCAAATGCTGGAAAATCCCTCATTAAAATCCTTGGCCAAATGGGAAGTGCATTTTGTATACTCTTAGGCAAACAATGTAGAAAGAATCCTACGTTGGTTTAGGAATAGTAATAATAGTAGTAACACACTCACGTGTGACTTCCACACTGACTACAACTGTCATTTTAGTGATACAAAACTAGCTCATTCAAATTCATGAGGTGGCAAATTTTGGCACATAAATTATCAGTTTCTTGCTGATATGATTTGTGAAAGGGCTTCAGCAAGTAAAACTGGTTCAAATGTAACACAAAACGTCATGTTCTTTGTTCAGATGCTCATTTTGTTCTCCCTAAGCACTTGCATTCCCGTGCAGTTTGGAAATGAGCAATAGTCACCAAATTTGTACTATGAGGTAAGCGTCCCCTTTTAAAAAATTATTTCGTAAATAGTGAGTTATTTCCATTTTGAAAAAAGATACACAGAATGTTCCGTGGAAATACTATTCACAAACTATTATTCTGAGGCAATGCCGCACAGTTCAGCAAGGCTGGGCTCTCCTCTGAAGTGCAGGGTCTCTGCCTCATCCATTGCAGGGAAGCTGGCCTGGAGGAACGTCCAGCTCTTGTACTTGTTTACTGATTATATTGGGCAGTGTCATTCAACCTCTCGGTGTTGCCATATGTACAAAAGACTTTACAATATGTATCTGCTCTGGCAGGGAGATTGTGAAGATTAGTTGCTGTTTGTACAGCATTTTATTCAGTCTGAGTTTTATTCCAAAAGCAAAGGTCTAAAATCTGTAGGCATCAATGGGGAATCAGTTTGAGGCAAATATTTGGTGCTGATTATGCAAGAAAATTGTTGTCTGAAGCCAGTGGAAGTGCCTTTGTGTGTTTCATTTTGGGTTTAAACAAATTTTACTGAATTCGTATGCCATAAGTATGAATATACTTGATTATATTTCAGGCTGTATGAAATCAGCAGAAAGATGATACTAATAGAAGAATGACACCCCATGAGGGATGTAAAACCTCGGTCAAGCTCCACACAGAAAAACCTTGCTGTTAGGGCCTGCATTCAGCCAGCTTTGCCTGTGCCAAGGGCACAGTGACAAGGGGCGATTCCATTTCTGGTAGTCCCATTGGAGGTGCTTTCAGTGAGCCTTACATCTGATACGTTTGAGTACATCAAACAAAGCCTCCTAAATGAGGATGGGATGCATATTGGTAGGGGAAAACCTGGTTGGGGTCATGGCTGCTTCCCTGTTCTGGTATGGGGTGGGGTGACACTGATTTAAGGGACTGCAGGCAGAGTGTGACCTTTTTATTTCCTGAAGGAGGAGTTGACTGCAGAAGGTATTGTGAACCTTCACACCTTTTTGGTGGTAAGTGCACAGTCTGAGTGTGGCAACATTGTCCCTTGTGTGCTTTCAGCCTCCTGGAGGGACTGCAGACCCACAGTTCTTCCCCCGGGATAAATATATGGCTGCTTTCTGGGTCCTTCTGGAGATCTAGGCCTTGGTGTCCACCCAGAGCTGCTGCTCTGTGAGCCCCTTCATCTCCCGTGAGGAGCCAGGCTAGTCTGCTGCAACAAAGGGAATTATGTTTTTGGTGGTCTGGATGAAAGTTCAGTTTACTTTGCATCAGACTTTAGGTGAGCAAACAATCTGTCTGCTCCACTTCCTCATTTGTCCTATAAGAATATAAGATTGCTCTATACCAAAGGGAAGTTAAGGAAGTAAGTTACAGATGACTGACTCCTTTTGCTGTCCATGCAGGTACACAGCTGTGTTGAAACCCAGATGAACAGTGCCCTTCCTGTTACATGAGTACTTAAGATGTGCCACTTCTTATGACATGCTTTATAAACTAACCAAGCTTTGATTATATTGGTCTAGATGAAAGAAGGAGCAAGGCTGTAAAGTCGACACTAGTAGTATTGGGGAAACAATAAGTAACATCTTCCTCTTGATCCAGCATTTGTTAATGCCCTGGGAAAAGTGTTAGGTGATATTTTCCTGCTAGAGGTGCTGGCTTAAAAGAGCTGTGAGACTTAAGTACTGAGATTTGTTATTACATATTGAACCTTTCTATGAGTGCAGATACGATAACTCTAAGGTCCCATTTCAGCTCCAAATTAGGTAATTTCTTAGTGTCTCTAAACTTTCTCTCCAGGTTTAGCTGTACAGAATATTATCCCTTGCTTTTGTAAACTGTCGCATGTCCTGGCTTTGTGCTTTCGAACGACTGCAGCGTCCCCCCCTAGGAGTTACGGCAGTGATCTTTATCTTTGTCCACCTCACAGGGGTAATGTGTGGCTTCATTAAGATTTGCGTTCCTTTGCTGCTACTTCAGAAATGTTTTTAATCAAAAAGCTCAGTGTTTTCAAAACAGTTTTGTGGGTTTCAGTCATTAAAGTCTACAGGATCATGAATGCCTATGCATAACTTAAGAAATGTGTTCCTCCTTCTAGCTCCTATCTAGTATGGGAAGTGACTGACCCCACGGAGCGCATCTCTTTCTCGAAAAGTATATTCAATCTTTTCAACTTATATATTACACATTTTTCCTTACTCCTAAAGTTAACAAGCAATTTTATTAAGTTTAGATCTTTCTACATGGCATCTGACTTCAAAACAGTTAAGCCGCGAAGTTGATTACTCCAACGAGATTTTGACCGCTGCCCTCTGCTGAGAAGGCACAAGCGAGAACACTGTAATTGATTGTCGAAGCTTGTCGACCAGTTTGCCTCTGGGTTATCAGCAAGACACTGCATCAGTATGTCCAGCTAAGTAGGAGGTGTAAGAATTGCATGTTTGAAACAGAAATGTCTGTGTAAAACCGCTAATGACTGTCTGCTGGGTCCCTCGCGATGGTGGATTGTCAGGAGCAAATCCAGTGAATTTGCTGCGTTTC